GCTAGCTTACAAAACAGCACAATGTAAAAAGAACGTTTTTACAGCTCAAATGTTTTCAGTGGAGGAAAGGTGAACAAAACAACTTCCTGAAATGGAGAGAACAACAACACTCCTTCAAAGATCTATTTTCTGTCCTATTCCTTCTCTTTAAATTTTCGGTTCTTCTTACAATAAAATAAACTTAATAATTAATTATAACAACTGATCATCTCCTTGGATTTTGAGTGATACTACTGCTTCCTGGGCAGTGGTGGGCGTATTGGTGTCTGCCTGAAGCACCAGGTACCGTTCCAGTACGGTGCTCCAGAGGGCCCACCCAAGCTCTTTACCTGCATTTGAGCTCTTTGGTGCTTCCACGCACAGAGCGCACGATGCCTGTGCAACGCTCCACCGAGCAGCTAGAGCGTCGCAAGAGGTAAGTATGCATGCGGGCGCTGTGAGCGTTCATGTGGTGCACGCCGGGCCCCGTTGCAACCGTACCAGTTGCAATGGGATCCGGAACCCACCACTGTTCCTGGGATAACAAAGAAAGTAGGAAAAGTTGTATAAGAATAGCACGCCAGAAGAGAAGGGGAGGGGAGAACAAAGCAGGAAATATTAAACTCTTGCTAAAAGTGCTTGCGTGACACTTGTTGACAAGGCAGTTCTTCATTCCTGGCTTCAAAAAAGAAGTTCCCTTGATTTTTAAAGTTCCCACCGGCAATTTATTTTGGGAGTCCCACCTGAGACAACTGTCCAAATCCTTGGGGCCAGGCGCTTTCCTGGTAGGGATCTCGGGGATATGTCTTCACGGGGGAGCGATCTCCATGCCGATACAACTGGAGGAAATCAGAAAGACAGGCATTCTGGGTAGCCCATTCACATGCTTGTGGCAATTCTAATTTAGGTTTGGGGAAAACGTTATTATTTAGCTCGAAAGGTGCGAGGGGACTGATGTTACTAAGCGGGATAGCCGTACCGGGCGACCAGCCTCTCCCGCCTCGCTGGATTCTTCCCTTCCAACGCTCCCGCAACTAGCAAAATGCAAAGAATGGCAACGTTTGGATGGCAACAATACGTGAAGATTTCACCTCCACGCAGACCTGCAAGGAAAAGGCAGGACGCCACCTAAATGCACTGTCCCGATGCCATAAATACGAGTGGGCAAGGCGTCGTCGTTTTTCTACCAGATTAACAAAAAAGTCGCCGCAACTGGCTTTTCAAAGGGATCTCATGTTTTTTCACGCCACTTTTAAAACGGATCTCACGGTGAACTTCTTGGCAGCTCACAGATTTGTCTCCTTTCCTTTTTTTCCCTTTAAAAAAAGGCAAATAAACCTCCCCCCCCCCTCGGGACACGCGTCACCTGAGCCACATGATTGCCTGCCGGCTCCCCCACTTAGCCCCCTCCCGCCAGATTCGTTGGCTGCTCACCAAAGTCACGAAGCGGAGAGTCCGGCTCTGGGCGATCGGCGGGGCTAACGCGAAGAGGAAGCCCAGGGTAAAGGTGAAGGGGAGCCCCCTCCAGTTGCAGCGACTTTCTCTACCTCCCATGTCTTTCCTCGGCAACCATCGATATTTCTTGCTCGACCTTCGTTCCTGGGGAAAAAGTGAGCATGCTCCGTTCAGCCGCGCATGCTCAGTAGCAGCGTTTGAAGCTTTCTCGGCCGTCTTTTGGGAGAAAGTGTTTTGTTAGAGAAAGGGAGGGAAGTGATCGGACAACAGAATAACAGAGTCGGAAGGGACCTTGGAGGTCTTCTAGTCCAGCCCCCTGTTCAAGCAGGAGACCTTATATACCATTTCAAACAAATGGATGTCCAGTCTCTTCTTAAAAACTTCCACTGATGGAGCATCCAGAACTTCTGAAGGCAAGCCGTTCCACTGGTTAATTGTTCTCACTGTCAGGAAATTTCTCCCGAGTTCTATAAGAGTTCTCAGTTCTCCTTTTGTGGCTTATGTTGAAGCAGAACTGAGATTATTAGGTTGCCTTCTAGAAATAGAGCAGAATAATAGAGTTGGAAGGGATCTTGGAAGTCTTCTAGTCCAATCCCTGCTTAGGCAGGAAACCTTACCCTATGGGGCTTCTTCACGTTTGCTTGATCCAGTTTCTGGCATGCCACAGCCCGGTCCCAGTCCCGATCCACGGACCTGGGTTTGGAGACCCCTGCACTCCGAAATACTTTCCATTGTAAGAATAAATGCTAACTATTAATCTATGTTCTAGAACCACTTTTATTTTTATCCCACTGCAGTTCAGGAAATTCTTTCCTTACAAAATGCTTTGTAATCCACAGATGTATTAAAAAATGGCAGATGAATAAAAGATGAAAATAAAAATCTCAACAGAAAAGAAAAAAGAGTACCTCAGCTGAGAGTAAAAAAAAATGAAATATCAGTTTGCAGTTACTGTAAAAGATTGTAGAAAAGTAGACAAGCTATATCATCAAGTGAAAATAGGTAATCTTGGAGATGCCCTTAAGTTAGTAGCCAAGTGAACGCTAATTGTATCCTCAGTCTTTTGGCAGCCGTCTCACAAATATTGCAGATTGCAGCTCAGGTCAGGGGAGAATTTGTACATTGTCAGGAAACCTGAGAGAGTGGCTGCATGGGGAATGGTCATGAAGTTATTAGATGAAGGAAGGCAAACTTTTTAGAAAATGAAAATCTTGCTCAAAGAAGAGATGAGGAAGGCAAGTCTTGGAACTATAAACATTGACCTTATCGTCATGAAGATCTGATATCAGAAGAACTAAATCCATCCTATCAGACTGTTAGCCAAGAAATAAGAAATAGTGTACTAAATCACACTGAGTCTTGTGGAAGAGCTTGGACAAAATATCGCTGTGTGAATTAATATTTTTAGGAGGAAGCCAAACAAATCAGGATAAATAGTTTTAGGCATTAGACACTCACAAGGATTGTAAAGTATTACCAAAGATTTTTTTTTAATGTAAAGTTTCAAATCTTTTAATATAAAGTTTCAAATCTTTTTTTTTAATATGAAGTTTCAAATGTAACTTCTCCATACAACTAATCCCTGGAACAGACACCTGGAAACCAGCAAATACAACTCATCTCTAGTTCTGCCTTCATCTAAATATATCTGTGAAAAGAAGCATCAAATTATATGTCTGGTTGAAGTGAAATATTGGTGAAACACTATTTACAATAACATTGTTATTCATAAGGAAGGAGTAGTCTGGGAAACCCTGTCTCAACATCATTTTATAGTTCTTTGAGATTGCCAGTAAGCATACAGAAACAGAAGATTCAGCAAACAAATGCTTGGTCTCTGTCACATGTCAAGCTGTCCCATGATTTATTTGACCATGATTAAGCATTAATCCATATGCCCACATTTGCCCAACTCACTGAACCACACAATTAGCCACACCAGTTGGGTTTACAACCCCGCCCCCATATTTTATCCTTGCAAACTCAGTCTCCAACTTTCAAAAGAATTGGGTTTTGCGAAAGTTCCACATAACAAATTCCAGAACACATTCAGGAAGTTGTAGAAAGTTCCTTTTCTACATTTTCAACTGAAGAATAGGAAACAGAATGTAGAACTAATCAGTAATTTTCACAAGGGAGGTGCCCAAGGGGATCTGCTGGGGACTAGTGGTTTTTTTTACTAATTCTGGAATGTGTAAACATTGTGGTGATCAAATTTGCTGATAGCAAATAATTCTGAGCACAAAAAGCAAAAAAAAAAAAAAAAACCAACCCAAACCCCAACATCCTTAAGATAATTTAAT